CCAAAATGTCGGTAGGTCGGCAGTCTGTCCAAAGTCCACGGGCGAATTACGCAGCAAATAAGACGAGATCTCTTTAAGGCGTAGAAGGACCACTGTTGGGTATCAAGCTCCACTTGTGCTGGTGGAATTCTTGACTAAATAAGAACTTCAATATGTAGACTGTGTAGGTAATTTATTGGTTGCTATAAGAGAGGTACCCGTAATGCATGCGTTCGCGACCGGGTTGTTCCGAGCAAGAAGTTGTTGCAGCGGTGCCGACTTACCGACATTTTGGACATAACAACAAAAATTAATAATCATAAATTGATAACCCCAAAAGGCAATTAACGATATATTTTATGAAGCAGAACTGGGAAATTTGCATAGATACTTAGTTGAAATAAATGTCACATCTATGTACCTCATCACCTGAACCATCTTCCTTTGACGTGCACTTCCAAGTCACACCTTGACTCATAACTCAGACGCACCATCTCCCAACTACATGTCCTCCAAAATCAAAGCTCCCCACGCACAATCTCCCAACTACATGTCTTCCCCAATCACAGGTCTTTCCACACAATCTCCCAACTATATGTCCCAAATCACAGCTTCTCCCGCACAATCTCCCGAGTATAGACACTCCCAAGTCATGTCTATACCCGGATCGTCTTCCTACTCCAACGCACCAATTCCCAGCATTCATACTCAAGTCACAGCACCTGCACCATCACCATACGTTTTTCACATTCCATCTCCACCTAGTACGTCTCAAGATTACGAATACACAGCAGGTTCTTTAGGCCCCCCGCGCACTAGGCAGCCAGGCTGCGGCAGCCAGTCGAACATATGACGGTGTATGGGAGCCCGCGCACTAAGCAGCCACGAACTCCCGGCTGCGGCAGCCATAAAAGCGCGCTCGATTGCACGGCAGCCAGTTGGCTGCGCGCAGCCAGAGCGAGTAGGGCGAATGTATGTGGCTGCCGTCAGTCACCGCGCACTTGTCGTAGCAGCCAGACGTATTTTGTTTTCTGAAATCACAAAATGACTTTCGATACGGAGAAACTTATTCGCGAAATTGAAAACCGTAAAGCAATATGTGATATATCTTCATAAGAATACAGTGATCGTGATGTTAAGAAAAGAAAATGGGAAGAAATCACAAATATAATGTGCGAGGACAATTTAACAGCAAATGAAAAAAGTGAATTTGGTACGTTATGTTTTTTATTAGATAGTATTTTATTATTCTATGGATATATTTTTAGTTTATTGTTTATACACTTAAAAGTATAGAGTAGGTAGGTACCTACTATCCCAATACATATTGGTTTTGCCATTCTAGCGGATTTTCATTGCTAAAATAATCCGCAAATAAATCTCTATAAGATGCTGATGATCGGCTCCCTCTATTTAAGGAACCTGGGGTTATTTCGAGGTCAGGAGGAACGTACAGTGTGTCTTTAAATCTATAACCATGTCTTTCGCGCACGTAATTATGTAAGACACAGCATGCTATGGCAATTGCAAATTCTTGTCGGACATTCAGTGGACGGTGAAAAATTCTCCATTTGTTTGCCAGAATCCCAAACGTGCATTCTATGTGCCGCCTTGCCCGAGACAGTCTATAGTTAGAGATTATTTTTTTGGCTGTTAAACCCCTTCCTCCATAAGGTCGCATTAAATTTTCAGATAAAAAAAATGCCTCATCTCCCACAATGACGTATGGCATCGGTACACCATTATTTGATATGGGGCTCTTCCCCGGGATTGGTATATCTTTATTGACGACTTTTTGATACAAAATAGATTGCTTAAATATAGATGAGTCACTACATTTTCCATATGCCCCAATTACTATATATGTGAACTTATAATCCGCATCGCATACAGCAAGTAAAACGATTGAGAAATAATTCTTATAATTATAATAAAGTGATCCTGAGTTGCTGGCTTTAATTACTCTTATATGCTTCCCGTCGATGGCACCAATACAATTGGGATAGTTTGCATTTTCATTGAAACCTTTTGCTATTTCAAGCCACCTTTCTTCATTTAATTCTGGAAACGTTGACTGTCTCATGTTCTCCCAAATCGCCATGCAAATTTCATATATGACATCTCGGACAGTGGTATGTCCAATCCGAAAATTATGGCTGATTTCCATCATAGAACAGGCTGCAGCAAGATATCTGTAATAAAGTACTTATATTAATTTTCAGGTAAATCTCTACAGCAAAAGTGGAAGAACATCAGAACTAGTTACAGCAGGGAAATAAAACGCAAAGCCGGTGCTAAAAGTGGAGCAGCAGCTTCGCGTAAGGGTCCTTACGTATATTTCGAACAACTACAGTTTCTTAAGGCCACTGTAATAAATAATGAAACTCAAAATAACGTGGGTGAAACACGCCCTGCGGAAACCAACGATGACAGCGATTGTATTCAAGGTAAACGACTCGTTTCCAAAAAGAAGAAGACATGTGACGTTGAAAATTTGGTTCAAGTATTAAAAGAAAGTATCGCAATAAGAGAAGAGCGTGAAAGAAAGCAAGAATCTGATCCAGATAGACTATTTATGCTTTCGCTTCTAGAAGATTATAAAAACATTCCGAAACATCGTAAACTTTCTACGAGAATGGAGTTAATTGACGTAATAAAAAGAGCTCAAATGCCTTTTATGGAAACTTACAATTCCGAATTTGGTGTGTTTCGCCAAGGTCATGTTGATTATGAACCAGGGACATCAACCGCCAGATTATTTAAACCAGAAACATCGGTTAGTGGACAGTATCACCATGGATACTCGACTGAATATGGACCGGGAAACTCAAGCAGTAGGCAATATCGCCATGAATACTCAACTGAATATAGGCCGGGAATCTCGAGCAGTGGGCAATATCGCCATGGATACTCGACACAGTCAAATTATGGGCTAGAAGCCTCGAGCAGTGAAAGCCGCCGTGCATATTCTACGTCTGTTCCAGACAAGCAAGACAATACCGGATATACTGAGGTGTTATCTCCATCTGACACAAATGTAACAGATACGTCTCAGAACTCTGAATTACTTGAACTATTTCAGGAAAATTCTTTACCATATATGTAAGAAATAAAGAATAAATGTTATAAATAATTAACAGTATTTTTTATTTTAGCACTTATCTCAATGTAATCACCAATTTTTCTTCTGAAGTTATACAAGCTCGCATAGGAGTATCAGTGCCTTTGATAGAATTTATTATATTTTCCAAAAGGTTATCAAATGATTGCACTGACATTCTCGTGTAGTTAAAAAACCGGTCTGGGTATTTACGAACATCTTTAAAATAGGTATAAAATAAGCCTTTTGTGTGCCGTTCTAGAAAAAGAGGATGAATCCAATGTCTTTTAACTTTGCGTTTTTTACGAGATACGCACAAAATTACAAGATCTTCCACGTCCATATCCCTCGAAAAAAGGATCGCAACTGGCTGTCCATTGGCTGTCAAATATTACCTAAAGTGGCTGCTCAAATATTTCGGCCGCCGCAGCCTGGCTCCGCAGCCAGGCTGCCTAGTGCGCGGGCAGTCTTATTCGCTCAATTTTAGCCATAATTTTTTGTTCAATTAAAAGATCTGATCTTTGTGCCATTATATTGTACTAATTTTTAAGCATATTAACAAATTAATAAGCAATACATTGACAATTTAATTTTAATTAAGAATAATCGATATCGTTGTGTAATTAATGTAAGAGTGGCAACACTGATTATAAATAATTAGAATTTATAGCATTTTTTCAATTTTAATTAAAATTAATAGTTTTATAAGAAGAAATGAAGTTTTTTTTATCACACTAATTTTCTACGGCAGTTAAAAAATTAACATTATTGTATTAAACAAAAAATAATACAAAATGTTTATTATTTTTTATTAAAGACTAAAATAACTAGTCTATTCACTATATCAGAATTTTTTTTTTTCAAATATTTTAGATATTTTATGAAACATAAAATATCCCTAGAATGTATACAGGGTTACAAGAAAAAATCGTGCTAGATCCGTTAAGGGCGTAGAGTAGCCATCCTTTCTGACTTATTTCACTATAAAACACCCTACCCTAAACTTAACCCTTTTCGAGATATTCGACTTTTAATTTTTTTTGTCCTTCAAGTTAAGACACACCAAGCGAGCGAGACAAGTGACGATTTATGTAGGTGCGAATGAAAGAAAAAATGTGTAGAGACCGGTTAGGGCTGGAAATACAACAGGGGGTATTGTTTGGTTGTCAGTCTGCTTTTGTGCTTCGTACTTAGTAGATGCGATATCGTTTTGCTCTTTTTCTCGGCTGTGATTCTGGACTATTTCTTCTGATTTGTGACTACTGTGCTTGTTAACCGGACTCTGATTTGTACCTGTGATACGGAAGTGTTAAAGATGACGTCCTATACACCTGAGGAATATGCTGATATGCTTATTTGTTACGGATACTGCGATTGTGTGTCTGCGCAAGATCGCAACGAATACATAACTCGCTATCCCGGTCGTCGAGTGCCGGATGTGGCCGTTTTTGACAGTTTATCGAAGACTTCGAGAAACTGGCTCTGTTTTGAGCCGAAATACAGACATGGGAAGACCACGAATTAACGACGAAGAACAGGACAATGACATAGTGCAACGCTTTCGAGCGGATCCGACTACTTCCACTAATATTGTTGCCCGTGATCTGGGACTTTCGCAATGGAGAGGAGAGGAGAGGTTTACAGTGCATACTGCTGGCCTATACCCGTACCATTACACGCCAGTACACGTTATTGAAGAAGGAGACCCCGCGAGAAGATTGGACTTTTGCAGATTTTTGCTAAATGCTGACGTAGAAGACTCAGATTTTCTAAGAAATATCTTGTGGATGGATGAGTCCAAATTTAATAAAGATGGCATAACTAACTATCACAACGCCCATTACTGGGCCCCAAAAGAACTAAGAAATCCCAATAAAAAAGAGTGATGGGGTCCCAACGAAGATTCAGCGTGAATGTGTGGATGGGCATTATCTCCAATCATTGGATTGGACCTTACTTTCTCCCGGATAATCTAAATGGGGAAAGTTACGAAAATTTCCTGAGAGCAGACTTGAGTGATTTGCTGGATGATCTGCCACTCATACTGATTAGGGACATGTGGTTCCAACACGATGGCTGCCCTGCCCATTTCAGGAGAAGTGTCAGGGACTGGCTGGACACAAATTATCCAAACAAATGGATAGGACGAGGTGGGCCGTTGCCATGGCCAGCAAGAAGTCCGGACCTAACCCCCATGGATTTTTATGTGTGGGGGTGCATGAAAAGTTTTGTGTACAGCGAGCCGAATCCAGTTTCGTCTGTGGAAGACTTAAGAGAAAGGATTGTGGATGCAGCAAATAAAATGAGGACCACGTTGACCACTGGAGTAGTGAAGACTGGTCTTCGTAGAAGGATGCGACAATGTATCAGAAATAGAGGCAGCCATGTTGAACATGAACTGTAGAATAAGAAAAAGTTGTGTGAAAACCTTTAAGACATTTCATGCTTAACTATTGTTTTATTTTACTTTTTTGGCCTAAATATAAATTTTCTTCTCCACTGTCGCCTATGAAACTAAAGTTTTTTCAATGCATTGGAATAAAACCTTAGATTATTATACCACGTTAGATAGCTGATGAAACGTAGATATTTAAAAAAAACATCTGCCGAACAATTGTCATAATATTATTTTTAGATATCCCTTAGAGAAAAATAAACTTTCTATAATTTTTTTTATTTCTTTACTTTCACTTGTCTACTACGGTCTATTCAATTTACTTATGCACTATTTTAATGATTGACGTCCTAACGATCTTATTACACATGTGAAAATGCAATAATAATAATAATAAGATACAAAAAATAAACAAAAATAAATGTAGTCTCCTAAAAATCGGCAATTTTCAATAAAAAAATTGAAAGTCGAATATCTCGAAAAGGGTTAAGTTTAGGGTAGGGTGTTTCATAGTGAAATAAGTCAGAAATTATGGGTACTCCACGCCCTTAACGGATCTAGCACGATTTTTCTTGTAACCCGTATAAACACATCAACAGAAGCGTTTTGAAAATGTCTCAAAATTCAGACTGGTATTTGTCACGGTTCCAAATTTGAACGCAAGTGTCGAGCGCGCGTTTTTTATGTACAATACAGGGTCGTCAATCTTAGAACAAATAGTCGGGTAATTCAGAACATTATAAAGAAGCAAAATCATGAAGCACTTCGGGTACTTTTAGATGACACGAAATGTTGTTATTTTTAAATTAGTCGCATTATATTGATATAGTTGTTCACTCTCAGAAACAGATGGCAGCTTTTGAGGATTAAGAAACGAGTTATTGTCATAGTTTGAACTACATTTTGATAGATGTCGCTAAAAGATAGTGATCACTGGCTATGTAAAGAGTGTTGCTAAATTAATAATTGTCCCACAAAATCTGGTAGCTTAAATTTTATCAAGAATATTTTATACATCTTTAAGGGAAGCATTTATAGCAAATATGTCAATACTAATATTCTTTAGAAGGTTTTAGTTGATTTCGAAGGAAATTTAATTGTATTCTTTGATTTTAATTAAATGTTTAGGGAATAATCAGTTGGACAGATGATGGCAAGCATGGCAACACCACTCAAATGTCATGTAATGTAATAAAATAAAATTAAAACATGTCCGCAGATGCCATCGCTTGCGCCGGTGTTATTTGTGTGATATTTTTGTGATTTCCAGTGCAGTGAGTACACTAGTTATTATTTTTCCGTTGAGTTGAGCTTTTGTTCCTCCGGTTAATTCATATTACTGTGAGCTCAAGTTACTGTGAATCGTTAGTTGTTTAAACTGAGATAGGACTCCTTGTGTTGTTTAGTATTATTTGGGACAGGACCTTTGTGTTAAGTGTTGCCTAACTGTTATCACTATGTCATCAGACAAGCATTGTTGCGTTCCTGGATGTAAGGATACTGAAGGTATATATTGGCTTAATTACTTTGTTATAACCTAACATAACTGTTCCAAGTTTTGGTGAATTGTGTGTTATGGTACATGTCCCAATTCAAGGCGCGTAAAATAGACACAATTGAAAACCGGGAAAGACTTTCCATTGACGTCAGTCGAGTTTGGTGTTGATACGTATTTTTACAGAAAGATTACATTTTTATAAGCACACACACAGTTTCAATACGCGGAAACACGTACTTATAGAGAAAAAAATATTGTAAATCAAATAATTTTGCAATATTTAGTCAATTCCTACCGTGAAATTGACGCCATTTTTATTATTATTGTCAGTAGGGGTAAATATAATATCTCAGAAGTAATACATATTATATTAAATTAGATTGTTTAGTGATTGTTTAGTACATTTGCCACTTACATCATTTTTTTAATTATTTTAAAATTTTAAGGATAACATGATTTGTGTTTTAGGTATACATCAAGTACTTCATAAGTTCCCAAACCCTGAAGGGGACAGAGAACGGTTCAACAAATGGTTATATGCAATTGGTGGTGACATTTTAAATCTGGAAAATGAGCACATATACAAGTATCGCCGTGTGTGTCGAACACATTTTGAAGACAAATATCTATGTCGCAACAACAAAATTAGCAACATTGCTGTGCCAACCTTAAATATGCCAGGTTTGTTTATTATATCCATTTTATATCAATCATTCTATGTTAAGAGGGAATTTTAAGCAAGTATATATATTTTATATAATTTATACCTGAAATCATACCACAAAGCTATCATTGTTGTATTTATGTTTGTATTTATTGTGATATTATTATTTGTGGCTCTACTTAAGTATTTATCCTCTCTGTTTCAGCACCATTATCACTAAAAAGAACATCTGCTAAACGACAGCCACTGCAACAAATTCTGGACCTACAAAAGCCGTCAAAATCATCAGGTAATTGAGCTGCAGTATGTCAGCTGAATAGTTGAAATTAAATATATGCAATAATATTATTAATTGTTGCATATAATTAGATCATCACTTATATTATTCATTATCATAGAATTAATCCTTATTTATTGATGTATTTTTCTTTTAGATCCCATTTCAACTCATTGTGCATATATGCAGCCTACATCAATGAACATTGAAAAAGTTGTCATACACAAAGAAAATATAGGTAAGTACACTGTGCTTTTGTACTTTATTATTTCTGACTACACAAAATAAATAATATGAATTTGCTTGCTGCTGGTTACTACTAAATAAAGACTTGTCTAGTGGGATCATGGTGTTAACAGTTTTTAGACAATTCACACTAAATGTGTGTGCACCTAGCTCAGCAAGATGTCATAATTTTTTATGTCACACTTAACATTAAAAAAAAATGTTACATTTACTTAACAATATTTTATTATATGTTCTATCTGACCCATCACATGGTTTATTACTGTCTTCGTAAAAGTTTATTATCCACATTTTTCCAGAAACACTATTCATTAGTAACAACCAAAATTAAATCTGTGCAGAAGTTACAATGAAAATAGTGCACAGGCAGAGGCACAGATACTTTTTTCATATTATGTCAGCTTATTCAAAAAAAATATATGCATAGGCATTAATCAGAAATCATAATCATTTAATGCAATGGAAAAAAGATTACAAAATAAAAATACAATGTGATCCATATCTTCTATCCAGGCTTAGTATAACTACAACAACATTCAAATTGAATTTAAGTTCTTGCATATAAATAAATTTTGATTAACATGCATCCATTATTTTACAGAATATCGGCAAATTAAAGTTACAAAATAAGATTCATGAAGTTATTATAATTTAAAATAATTTGTTTATCCATGACATCTAACATTAGTCCTAAAACCTATCTCTTTCACTTGTGCTTTAATTTAATTTTCATATTGTATTATTATAGTTTTTTAAGGGGAAAAAATTACTTAGCTTTAGTTTTGTCTAAATTAACAAGTAACCATTTCGTTATATGCCTGATTGATTAATTTCAAGTCAGAAAACACTAAACTCTTAACTTGGATGATAATTTATATATTATGTGTGGAAAATTTATATCAAAAATAAAATAAGTGCACACGCATTTCAGATCCAGATACATTGATGCTGCATGAGCATAATACCACTTTCAAATCTTCCAGTGACTAAGAAAAGTATGGAACAAAACCTAGGTAAGTGTCATATTAATCATTAATATAGTAATGACTGAACACAAATAAAACATAAATTTGTTTTAATTTTGAAACAAATTGTAAATATTAAAATTATGAATTTTGTATTAAGTTTATTAAACATACACTTACAGAAAATTATATGTGGTATAATATATTAACCATGTTTTGTTATTCCATTCTTTTCAGGAGAAAAACAGGCTGCCAAAAAAAAACCAAACATAGATTTTTAACAAAGGCAGAAAAAGAACTACAACAGAAACTTGTAGCTGCAAGAATAAAAATTAGTAAAATGAAAAACAAAGTTAAGAAACAGGCAGCCAACATTAAAGCTGCAAAAAAATTGATAACTAATCCTGCTGTCTTAGATGTCCTCGAAAATTGCTCAAGCACTGCAAAATTATTGATGCAATTACAATGGCGTGAGGACCGAAAAAAGGAGAAAGGACGCCGTTTTACATTACAGGAAAAAATTGCTGCTTTATCGATTTTGAAGCAAAGTCCCAAAGGATATCGATTCCTCAGGAAAATTTTTATTTTACCTGCTCAACAAACTGTTATTAAATTAATACAAATGAGTAATCTCATGCCTGGAATTAATAGTAATATTTTCTCACAACTGAAGACGAAAGCTGAAGCTTCCAAGGCTGTCCAAGGTAATTTCTGTAAGCCATCACTACCATCTCTGCACAGGGAGGACGACTCACTGGCCCAAGACGCAAAAGACAAAGCCGACCTTTTAGGCTCCCTTTTTGCGTCCAACTCGACTCTTGATGACGGGGGGAAAATACCGCCGACCATCCCGCGGTGTGAGTGCTCCATGCCGGATGTGCTATTCTCACAGCGCTCAGTTCGCAAAGCACTTCTCTCCCTGGACATCCAGAAGTCGAGTGGGCCTGACGGAATCCCCCCAATTGTGCTGAGGACGTGTGCTCCGGAGTTGGCACCGGTCCTAACGCGTCTTTTCCGGTACTCCTACTCCCAAGGCGTAGTCCCGAATTCATGGAAGACAGCTTTTGTCCACCCGATCCCTAAAAAAGGCGACCGCTCAGACCCGTCCAACTATAGGCCTATCGCGATCACCTCCTTGTTCTCCAAAATAATGGAATCCATTATTAACTGCCAGCTCATCCGGTACCTTGAGGATCACCAGCTGATTAGTGACCGCCAATACGGTTTTCGTCGGGGTCGATCAGCTGGTGATCTTCTGGTCTACCTGACCCATAGATGGGCGAAGGCAGTAGAGTCCAAGGGGGAGGCGTTGGCCGTTAGTCTGGACATTGCGAAGGCCTTTGATCGGGTTTGGCACAA